TTTTAACTAATCTAGGGCTTAACTAATGATTATTTTGCTAATCAAGTAATCTACTGATTATTTTGACAAGCGAGTAATCTGATTTTGAATCTGAATGCTATTTTCTGAATCTGTTTTTTAGTAATACAAATAGAACTAAGTGAAAAACAGGCTTTAATATGACTATATTTATATATAAAGTAACGATGAGGCAATAATAATTGGCCTCAAATAAAGTATCAAAACCAAGTTGGTTTTATTGAACAACTGTTAAATACATAATGTACTATGCCTATATTATAACAAATACATGCAGAGGGCGCCAGCGGCCTGGTGATGTTTCATGTATTTCAATGAAGTTTAAATCCATTGAATTTTAATATTTGGCCACATGCAAAGTCATATTTGGCCACATGCAAAGTCAGAAACTTTTATTTTGAAATCGTGATGTACAATAAATCGCATATTTAGAAATATGTTGATGTATTCTCCTGTGTTGGCATAGGTTTAAATGATTTACGTTACAAATCAAGTGAGTTTTCCCAGATGAATGTTAAGCAACCCAAACTCACCGCATATGCAGAGGAAGAGTTTAGCCCCTTTCACACATAGTCTTTACTGGTAAATTACTGTTAACGGGATACCGTTAACGAGATCATGTGTGAACAGGACCTTTTCAAAAATACAGGTAAATGCATTCTGGCAATCATACCATTCTTATGGAGATGACGTGATTACTCTGAGCTGTTTACAAAGCTCCTGCTTTCTTTTTTTGTAATAGCTTTTCTATGTAAATATGACGCTAGATGGAAATCTTTGACCATTGCGCCTCGCAGCTTTTTCAATGTGTCGCGCTCGAGACCCAGGCTTCTTTTCCATTCATCAGCTGCGACTCTGCAATTGGATACTAATGCGCGTCTCGTGTTTATAAGAGCAAAAACTCCTGATTGGCTAGTAATGTTAGTTTGGTTGACAGTGAATGAAAGCTGTGTTCCTCTCATACATTGGTAGGCAAACTCATGAACTCGAACGTGATATCAAGTGCTTTTAAATGTAGGATGACTATCTTTTTTCCCCGTAGCCAAACGCCGCACGCCGGAGCTTTGCAGGAGAGCTTTAAGCCCTGTTTGGGCTAGTTTTGAGTAGTGGTTAAACGGATCGTAGTTGATCCGTGATCCGTACGGACCAAGCCCCACGGTTCGGCATGCATGTGATCCGCAGATTAATTGCAAAATGTAACCATAATAGAGTACAAGTTTATCATTTGTTCGTATTTACACAAGCAAGCAAATTTGAAACAATTCCAGCGAGAAAAGGCGAAGGGAACTCTATTCGTTATTCACACGCTGTTCTCTACGCGCACAGCCGCACACACATGAAGTGCGCACACGCGTTTCAGACGGCGTGCGAACACCGAACTGAATCCTCTTCTGAATCCTCTGAACAGACACATTAATATTTTTCTTTTCATGCTGATCTTCATAGCTTTGATGACGGTCCGCCTTCCGAAAAACAAAATGTGTTGTGATTGGTTAGCTGTCCCAGTGCGTTGTGATTGGCGAACAAATAGGACCCCTTTAAGCTAAAAGGACATGTGGTCATGTAAATGCATTACACTGTTATCATGTTAGGTCATAAATGGTTTAAGCATAATCTGATTGACACAGCTAGATTTTTGCCCATTATCCCAATTTTGTATGCCACGGAAACACTTTAATCTGTGTTTAAAGGTACAGTGATATAAACTACAAACATGAGGGGAGAATAAATTTGCAAGTCTGTCAGTTTCCTGCTGACATTTTGAAATACTCTGGGGTTTTTAATGCTGTAATATGACAATTCACATAACGAATGGAAAATGCAGATACATAGAAGTTTATGTTGTGGTGTCACTATGTCATGTAAACCAGTAAAATGTGTTATTTCAACAAGCTGATTGTTGGTAGATAGCAACGTATTGGTGTGCATTAATGCATGCTCGATGTGAAATGGCATTTAATAATTGTTCAAATGTTCTTAGATGTGTAAATAAATGTATTGTTTTAACAATAAAGGTACTGTTTCAAAAATTACAAATGATAATGAGAATTTCAGTCACAAATGCAATACAAATACAATACAATTGCCACAGATCATTTCATCCATTATTTATACACATTAGTGCCTATTAATGTACATAATGTATAAAATAATTTATGTTGGAAATGCCAGCTGGAAATAGGTACCCTTTTACACAGTATACGGGGAAGCATTTTTGTCAAACCATTCTGGCTACAGGTTATGGACGTTTTAAGTTGCTAGTTTAGTTCCAAATTATTTTTAACTCCTTAACTATGCCTATTAGGTGACAAGTTCCAAATACCAAATGTATCAAAATTGTACATTGTTATTATGGCAGGTAATACAACAGTCAGTAGTTTTATTCTAAGACATTGAAAGACAGTGTCCCAAACTGAAAGAATGGGCCAGTGCAGTGGTGGAAAAGGCATCATATAAAACCATGCTCAGCAGAGTAAATGGTGTTTACTCTAAAAAACACCCACAATTCACATAGTAAGATCTGACCTTGGTTTTAACTAAATCAACATTAGTTACAAACATTGTGCAAGAAGGAGCACATGTGCATCTATTGTGTTCAAGAATATATTGTTTCTGAATAGAACTTCTTATTATGATTTGAGTTTGAGACATTAGTTACAGAAAATACATCTGTGATGTGTGGTCTCATACCCGTGAAATTTGCAGATGACAGATAGAGCCAGGTGAGGGCTGGGATAAAGAACAGGGCGAGGGAGGCAGCCACAAACTTCCTGCGCCCACGACACATTCCCAGCATCCTCTGCAGCCAGAGGGTGTCTGATCAGAGACCTCTATGTGGGCATTAGCTGTTTGGACAAGGGTTGCATTGCACTGCTCTGCAAAAATACAAAAATTAGTGTTAGCGATAGCACAAATATGTTCATAACCAGGGATGGCCAGTATTTCAGATACATGCATTTAAAATACGTATTTGAAATACAAAATACTTTTTTGTATTTTGTATTTTAAAGCCTTTGAAAAAGAAATCTAATGTAATTTGCATTAAAGTACATTTTTCCACACAGCATTTTGTATTTAAGTACATTTTTCCACGACAGTATTTTGTATTTGTATTTAAATAAATTTTTCCACACAGTATTTTGTATTTGTATTTTAAATACATTTTCATGTATTTATGCCCATCTCTGTTCATAACAACAAAATACTCATCTACCAGAATATGTTGTGCAAATATCACCAAAATGAATTCAAGCACTGCCAGTCCAAACAGATCCAAACCATCTTTTGCTTTGAATTAGGGTTGAAACGATTAGTCGACATTATCGACAACATCGACAATAAAAAATTGTCGACAAATATTTTTGTTGTTAAGTAGTCTTCTGATCTCAAATGACCAAATGTAAGAGCTTGCAATAATGCAGTTTGACCAGTGTGGCGCTGTAGCGCAAGACTGTAATTCAGCTCTCCTGGATGCAATTCAAGAGAAGACACAGCGCTTCAGCGCATTGAGCAGCCGAACCTGAAGCTGCTGAACGGCGTTTGGATGAATATGTAAATATATGCTGCGCACTTTCCTCTCAATAACAAAATAAACAACAAAACCTGACAGCGGTGAGAAAGCATCAGTTAAGAAAGCATCTGATTACAGCGATGTGGATGTTGCATGAGCTCTGCAGTTTGGCACTCCAGTCACGTCACGTTTATTTATATAGTACTTTATGCAATAGAGAGCCTCAAATCAAGCAGCTTTACAGTATTAAACATGAAAAACAGAGTCAGTGTCGCTTTCAGTTAAAAATTACAACTTTATTTTCTGTTATAAAGCAGCTCTTCAGTGTTGAGCTAGCTAACTACGGCTCTGTGAAGTAAATGCTGCTCCATCTGAAAGCATGTAAAAATACCACATTTAATAACATATTTTTACTCCAAACTCACTTCATAATGTCAGTCGAGTGTTTGAAATAAATCCTTCTGTGAGATGTGGCTTCTTACACAGAATAAGGCACGCAACATATTTCATAGTATTTAAGCAGTGATAAAGGCATTGCATTATAAATGTACTTTATTTTAATGAAAATTATAATAATAAGAACTCAGATAAACCGTATATTGCGGTAGTCATGTGTTTATTAGTCACGTTGAATCAATGAAAGCAGTTGAATCTTCTGTTTATTCAGCTGCAGTGATAGGCATTTCCTGGGTTTCTTCTGCAGGCGTATTTGGAGTTTCACAGCGCGAGAGCGCCCTCTGGCCTTTGGATGGTTACTTATCACAGAACCGTGCTTCACTGAAAGTTACGCATGACAATCGCAGCTTCTGTCGAATCGCGATCTCGATTCCATTTCGATTTATCGTGCAGCCCTAATAGCTAATGATGTTTTATTAGTGGGGGAAACATACTATTTAATTAAAATTATAGTTTGGTTTGCAGAGATCAAAGCTTGATCTAGCTCAGGCCTGTTTTGATTATCATAAACCTATAAGGTATTTTAAGAGAGATTATGTTGTGATTAAAATAATTCCAAAAATTAAATGTCTTATCACTTACCTTTATTTTGTTTATTATTCATATGGCTTACAAATGAGATGAAAGAGAGTTTCTCTGTCATCTCATTTTGTTTGCCAAATATTTATTCGTATAAATTAATTGTATAATTGGAATTACATCATATGATTTTCAAAAGCTGAAGTGATTACCTTTATTTATTTGTTAATCGTTCGTTGCAGCCCTACTTTGAATTCAAGTGTTTCATAATGTGAAGCCGTTTTGTCAAGCCACTTTAAGACGGTAAGTGTACATTAAGTGTGCTGTTTGGAACAGGACTCAGGTTCCAAATTTAAGAGAAAATAATCAAGCAAACATGCATTTCCAGAAAAAAAAAATATATATATATTTTGACAGTTTCTGACTGTGATGTCATACTGTGATAAAAGCCACTCACACCTGAATTCAAACCTGAAACCTTTCAGTCAGCAGCCAAGATATGTAACGACTACACAACCTCAACATTAATGAACTACTACTATGGATGTTCAGGTTCCTTACTGCAGTGCTAAAGAATAGGCTGAAACATTCATCATGAGGTTGGTTTTGCCTTAGATTCAGCAGCTGCTGTGTCAGCAATAAAGACAACATTCAAGCTGTGGTAATGCGAAGCATCATACTGTATGATCATGCTGCTGTGACTAAATCTGTTCAAAATCTTCATAAACCCTGCTTATGAACTAAAACACAGATAAATGCTGCTACTGACGGCATCCTTCTTTCCATTATACCAATAACAAACACCAGATATTTCTGTCTACATTACAGTTTATGTACTACATTCAGGCACGTGCACAGGTAGGGCTCAACCTGTGCAGAGCACATGCCCTTTTTGCCCGTATACACTCTGAAGTGTCCTTTTTTGGGTGATGGTGTTTTTTTTTTCCTTCAATAAATCAATGATATTGGTCACCCTTTACATCTGTCTGTCTGCTTTACAAATATTTAGCTAATGAAAGGTATTAAAAAGAGCTTGTGACTAAATCTTGTTGGATCCGCTCAAACTGTCAGTAAACTCCACCCCCTCTATCTTGACTGAATGAACTGAAGTTCCACAGCAGCTGAACTAGGTCTGCAAGGGTAAATAAAGATCTTGTTGTTTGAATAAGTACAGCATTTTCTTTACGCAAGAAACACTTTGTCTATAAAGGCTCATAATTTATGTATTTGAAACTGAGCGCCGCGCCCATATAGCTACAACAAACACCTGGTGATGAAAACGTAACGCCGC